CAAAATTTTGGCGCCGGAGCTTGCTTGGGTGCCGAGTTGAAATACCCGGACAGACGCACACACATATATACACACACACACACACCGCGGTCGTCGCAATAAGCGTTTTCGCATTTGCATATTATGCAAAAACGCATAATGAACTTCAAATTTTCTTCCAAAAATATGCGCTTAGCAACCCCCCCCCCCTCTCTCTGTCCTGCCCCCTTAACGTGGACTTTGACAATTCAAATTTTATTGATTTCCATCGATTTCATAGCTGAAAGGATGAAATTTTGGTATAAAGCCGGAGCTTCCAGGCCGATCATCTCAGTTTGGTACCATTGTAAATATTTCGAACGGCTGCGTCTCATCAGGCATGTCACATTTATCAGACAGCGATGAGGATGTACTGGATACGGAACATATCACAAAACTGAGGCTGATCAATAATGAATCGAGTTTCGATGGTGATACCTCCATTTACACGCTTCTCACCAGGCACAGTAGCTCCAGTGATGGCACGGCCGCCGAGTCTTCACGCAGTGCTTCGTGAGTTTTATGATTCTATTCACAAGTTTCGTAAGTTTTACAGTTCAATCCTATCACATAACAATTTATTTTTTGCTAAAATTTATGATGCAATGGCTCTTTACGAAATTTTAATAAAAAGTAATAAATCATTATGTGGTAATTCATAAATCCACTCTCAGCAGTGTGGCCAAGAGGACTGCTTTTTTTGGAAGACAATTTTTTATCTTTTCAAAAAAGAAAATGATACTTTTTTGTTTGGAAAAAAGCGGCGTCTGACGTACGGAAGCATCTCATTAACAATACTAACATGGAAGAAACTTTGAAAATTGCCAATTCCTGGATGAACAAAATGTTAAAATCTAATTTGGCCGACAATTCACGATCATATGGAAGCAGAAGATCGTTCCCTGTGTTTGCTTATGGGACTTATATTTTCAGCGATTCTCCGATGTCAAGCGACAGCCCTTGTGCCACTGACAGATCTGATTCAGTATCAGCGAAGGACATTAGAACGTGCCGTTCTATCGGAGATAATAGCAGGTTGTCTCTTCATAACTTTATGAAAAAGGGGGAGGGACAAGTACCATAATTTACGAAACGAAAAAAAAAATTCAGACCACTCATGGAACTCGACAAAACACAGTCCATGACTGGAGCAGTAACCCAAAACCAAAGTTCTACAAATACGGAGGCTAAATCGAAGCACCCGTGTTGCGCCTCACGAGTGGTGATACCACAACCTGGCAGAGACATTGAAATTATTATTTATCAAATTTCAGGCGTATGTTTTTGCTGTTAAATGTTAACAATCTCAAAAATCTCGCAAAAATCGAACTTTTCGCTCTCTTTGCCCTTTTAGCCTCCCTTCCTTGCCTCTCCCAGAAAAATAATATTCAAAAATCTCGAAAAAAAATCGAAAACAATCGAAAAAAAGTTAAAAACATTCGAAAATTCTGTATTCTACTAGCTAAGCTTCACCCACCGAATTTACCGTAGCTTTGCTAAACCGAAACTTTGAGGTTACAGGACCAAGAGACGCCAGAACGAGTGGATACAAAAGCAAGTGGAATTTTTTCCAGTGCAATGGACTCGTAAGTGAAATTCAGCTTTTTTCCCGAAAAAATCAAAAAACATTCGAGTACCTAAGTATTTAAATAAGTAGGCCAAAATTAGAAATTAATTGCACTCTTATTTACCGTAATAAATGTACCATATCGGAAGCAACAACTAAATGCTACATCGATCCATAAAAGCGAACATTTTCAGTGCTACTAAAGGGAAAGCTTTTTTCAGAACACAAGAAAACGGCGAGCTTTACGATCCAGGGAAACTGGGAAATCCACTTGGTAATTGGCAGATAAATAGAGCGCAATCGGGTTCAGGAATGCAGGTACCGCTTTGAAGCACATCCAAACACTTTACAGCCCCTCATCCAGCACAGCGAAATAAATCATGGAAAAAATTATTTGGAGCAAAAAACACGAAAATTCAGCAGAGAGAAACAGGAAAGGTAGAAAGGTCCATGGAGGCCTAAACAAGAAATGATCATTCCAAATAGGAATGCCTGAGTTGTGATAGACGAGGATTAGTGATGAAAACCTCAGTGCCATGCATACCAGTAGAAAAACCAACTTCAACCGAAAATGCCAGTCAAAAAAGTGCCAAATTCAGGGAGAAACTACTAAGCTGCTGCACTACCATGGTACGGAAATAGGGAGGAATAATGATGAAATAAGGTTGTTTGAAAATTACCTATTCGAAATGATCAAGTAAGATCGTCAGTTAGGTAAGATTGCAAGTTTGGGGAGGAAAAAGGGAAAGGAGGAGAAGAGGGAAGAGGGGAGAGGGCAGGGAAGGGGGTACAGTAGCGGAAGGATTGTGATTGTCAGATGCGTCAATAGTTTACGTGAAACGAAAAAACTAATCAAAAAATCAAGCTGTTTGCCCTGAGGTGAAATACTAATTTAAAACTTTGAAAAGTTCAAATTTGTTGACTTTTCTATTTCTACCTTCGCTGGCTAAACACTGAGTCAAAATTTTACCTCATACTTTACCTCATTTCCCTTCTGTTCCTCCAAATATCACCATTTCAAGTGCGCCCATTCCTACATTTTTTAAGGGAACGCGAAGCCAACGCAGAAAACTCGCGGATGTAATTTCAAGGATTTGTATCGAACCCAAAAACAAATAGTGACCTTTATTAATACTGATCAATGTTTTTACAAAAGATAACATAAACTTATTCTGTTAAAAAGCCAGAATCATGATAATTCCATGACGGGACAAGAGAGGATTTCACTGTTTCTTGATCCGTCCTAAAAAATTCGCTAATTTTCATACCTCCCACTAAAACTGTAGATTTCACTTGAGTTATAGGATATCCACAGTGAATATTACATACCAAGAATGGAGGATGTGTCAGTGGTGGATGGTATCGGAGCATCGTCAACCTATGCTTTTGATGAACTCGAACAGTTTCGGACGCTGTATGATGTTAAAGAATGTACGTGTATGGGGCATCATTTCCCAAAATGCTTATCTCATCTTTCTGGGCAAATTATGGTTTTTTTCAGGATGCTACATTCGTCGCAGAACCAAATTTTATAAGGGTATTTTGGAAAAAAAATCATGATTCTTAAGATTTAAAAACAGATTCTTAAAGTCAGAAAAGATTACCGCAAAATTCAAGGGGTTCTAAGTTTTATTATTACCATGAAACCAAATTTTATAAGGGTACTTTGGAAAAAAAATCCTGATTCTTAAGATTTAAAAAAAAGACTCTTAAGATCCAAAAAAGATTACCGCGAAATTCAAGGGGTTCTAAGTTTCATTTTCATCTGTTTGTCTATCTATTTGCTGCTGACTGCAAAATTTTCTTATCATTTGATAGGAATAGCTCTTGGCATAGCTGCTATCGGCATTTGGGAGCATCCTAGTAACATCACTAACAGGGGAATCCCTGATAGCCCGAGCGGTCCTGGTATTCTTGGTATGTGATAGGAACCAAACAAAAGCCAACTCCCCCTTCTTCCTCATTTTTGCTCCCGTGAGGGACAAGTGGACCTCAAAGGGGCAAAAACACATTACCTGCACCAGTATCCTCCACAAGAATTATCTTTTGATCATTCAAAACTATTTTAAAAAAACACAACGAAAATTCAAATTGCAGGGCAACGGAGCATGTTCCTATCCCAGCAACAATGATAATAAAGCACGGGTGATACGAGCGATCTTTCAACTGAATGATATGTACACATTTCATTACAATCACCATATATATTAGTTTTTGGAACAAAAAAGAAAAAAAACGATATTCATCGTTTTTAGAGTTGCCATGTAAAAAAGAAAAAAACACTGAGAAATGCAAATACAGGAGCAGTGGATACAGTAGCAAAAAATTAAGAAAATATCTTGAAAAAGGATGAATATCACAGAAAATTTACGAGGGAAAATAACTTCAAATGCTGTTTTCCCAGATGTTTCCTCTTAAATAGGGATGACTATAAGTGAAAAAGCATCAAGGTCAAGCCAAACTCACTCCTATACGATCTATTTGTTTGTCCGGATGAGGACCCCAGAAATATTTGAAAGCTAGGAAGCTGAAATTTCTCAAGCAAAATGCCCGAATAACACTGCGTGATGAGGTCATAAACTCAAAAACAAACATCACACGAAAACATCAGATTACAGGTAAAATGCCCTAACCTGTACCTGGTAGCGGGTCGCATTTACACATTCTAAATAGGCTAGTTACTTGTATGGGATGCTGCTCGTTACCTGTACAAAACGCTGCTCGTTACTTGTATAGACTTAGAAACAACAAATATCAACTTAGAAAAAACGCTTTTTTTCGTGTCTCAACTAGTAATCACAGATCCAAGCCTAAATTATTGCGTAGTTAAAAATTGTAGAATCTAGATTT